AGATTCATTCGATTTTGCTCACCCTAGACTGTCTTGTTCAGCCTCCTGATGAGTCCTTTGAAGCCCGACTAATAACACTCTGGCACAGTCCCTTCCCCCCCCCCCCCCTCTCTCTCTCTCTCTCTCTCTCTCTCTCTCTCTCTCTCTCTCTCCCTCTCTCTCTCTCTCTTGGAGCCCTGGCCAATTTGGCCAAGGCTGTGCTGAACGAAGCACTTCAGAGCATGTTGACGGCAAGGGCAGCTATAGCCTCATGGAAGAAGGGGATAGGTAGAAGGGTGTTGCGAGCGGCGGAACACAAAGAGGGATAGATAGTCGGGGAAGAAGGGGGGGGAAATTACCTCCCATGGAGAATTTGTGGGATAGGTAATTTTCAGACAGTCCTCTTGGTCTTGGTTCCGGCGGGAGTTTTTTCAGCACTTTACATTTCATACAGTTCGGTTGGGCTGGTTTTCAATTTTCCGTTTATTTTCAACATTTTAATTTTCAGACAGTGCTTGTGGGCTGGTTTTCGGCGTTTTTCCTTTTATTTTCAGCATTTTCAAGCATTTTTAATTTTCTCTTTCTTTCAGCTTTTCAATTTTGTTTTGACATGTGTCGTCGGCTATCTGGTATTTAATTTTAGGAAGCTCAGATCCCAGCTCTTGGAAAAGAGACAGTTTTCAGCAAGTGGCTACATAGTAGTAGAAATGGCCGATGACTGTCTCTTATACACATCTAGATGTGTATAAGAGACAGGTCTAAGAGTCACCCTCCTGATGATCCCGTGTGGGCGGGTGAAACCGGTTGGGGGATCCACATGTTTGCTCTTTTCTGCAGTTTTGTAATGCTACCTCACACGCAACTTGGTCTAACCTGAGTTCGGTCTGTTCGTGTGTGAGTTGTGCTGGGGCTCCACAAACTGTTTCGCCGCAGTCTGCCATCTCGTGGGCTCGTAGTAACCTGCAGCTAGCTTGCGCTGGATGGTAACTGCGTCGACAGGAACGAGGGGAACGAGGGGAACTCGGAAAGAGGGTAACTGTGGGAGGTCCGATAGCGACTACCAAGGAGGAGGAGAGAGAAAGCAAGACGTACAGGAAGGGAGAAGAGTCCTACACCGAAGGAGGGGAACAGGTAGACGTGAGATCCGTAGGCTTTGCAAGACGAAGTGGGAAAACACGCTGGCCGCGTGTTATCCGTTTTATTCCAACAGTGCTCGGACTTGAAAATCGGCGAGCGGAAACGAGCGGAGGAAGAACGGGTGAGATAGAGCATACAGATAGATCAAGCGAGGGAGCGGAAGCACGTAGCGCAAGAACGATACTAGAATAGCTAGTAGGATTAGACGAGCATAGAATCCGAAGATGAGGAAAGAAGGTAAGAGGATACGGTTGATATTGAACGGGATAGGTTTGTTGCTTATGGGGATCGGTTTGATCATCGTAGGAGCAGCCATTTGAGAACATGTCGGAAAACTGCGCGAACTGTGGGGGGAGGTGTGAACATACCAGGAGGCGAGTGACAGTGCAGGAAAGGTTAATACAAGCACTAGAAGAATACGTACGGGATACGATTGAACCTATGCACCTAATGATTGGGTTTGTCAACAATTAACCTACGGACGACGCTCTATGATAGACTAATGGACCTACTGATAAGGATCGAAACCAAACTTCTAGTGCTACGGACAAGACGAAGAGTTAGATACAGAGAGATTGTCGAGATCTGGAGAGAGTATACCATTATAGTAACTCTAGTTAGGAACTACGGGGCGATCACACGAATTACGGGTTTATCTAAATCGAGATAGCGGATCACCGACGCCAGCAACCACGTAGAATTCTTACAAGGGAACAGAGAGCAAGGACCGTGATCAGCCTTACGATCAGTAACACTTACTAAGTACGCGACGATGTTCCTGACAAACGGCCTCAGTGGGGGCGACTACAACAATGCACAGCACGGACAACTATATGCTAACGACGGAGTACAGAACAATGGAGGAGGATAACTCAGCGGTCCGACTAACAGTTACGGAGAGGGTGGAGAACGAGACGGGGGGAGCGGGGAAAACGACCCAAAACTAGAAGAGATAAAGGAGCATTTCAGACAAGTGAGAAGGGAACGGCAGGAGTTGGAAGAGAAGTGGAAAAGGGAGGAAGAACGTAAGGCTAGGGAGGAGGACGAGAACCGGAGGAACCAAGATTTCGCTAGGAAAGCAGAGAAGTTCAAGCTACAACTTCGCGCGGCACTCATGGAAGAATGGAGGAGGACGAACGCGGAAGCAAGCAGCGCTATGGAGAAAACCAGGAAAACGGGGAAGAAACAGACAGGGACGAAGAACGTGAGCTGCAAAAAAAGGAGTAAGAGTCGGAAGAAGAAGAAGATGAAGAAGAGAGAGACATCAAGCGACGAGACGGAAATCGAAGACTCCACTGAAGATGTGTCCACAGATATTTCGACCACGGACTCGGAATCAGAAGCACCACAAGGGAAAGTGAAGGAGAGAGGATGGCGAATGAAGAAGAGAACGATAGTGAAACAGAAGAGCAGGAAGGTGAAGGGGAGATCTGTTGCAAGACGCACTCCTTCGAGAATCTACGAGCCGGGGGAATGCTCAAAACAACAACTGACGAGTCCGCCGAATGGACAAAGGCGGGTTGGAACGGAGATCGAGGCGGAAGATACTGCTGATGAACCTAGGACACCCCTTACGGGGGGATTCAAAGGTTTGTCAGCGGGATGTTCATAGAAAGGGCTGATCGACTACTGTATATCAACCCACAAAATCTACTCGGCTAAGAAAGCTGATACGCTGGAAAAGATTTGCGAGAGGAGAGGTATTAAATACACGAAGAAACCTGAAGTCGTAGAAATCCTGGAAAGACATCAATTACAACTGGCGTATGATGGATTCGAAGACTCGGTGGAGAACGAGAAGACTGCCGAGAAGACGAAGGCGTCGGGCACGCCGCGAAAGGAGTTCACTAAGGACAAGGTCACGACCGAGAAACCATCGGGGAAGACGGTACCAGTCATCATTCGATCAGCGCCGACGCAACCGACTGAAGACTCAGATTGACGGTTGGATGCCCCTACTAACACTGAACTCTGGGAAACACTGAACGAACGAATGGACCAGAGGGAGCGTTTGTGGGGGCAGAAGGTTACAGGCGAAGTAACGAGGAAGCTGGAATTTGCGATTTCGGTTACGACACTATTGCTGGCGGTGAATGAACAGATACCATGGCTGCTCAAGTATTTGACAAAGATGGAGGCAATGAAGAGTTTATTACAACTGAAGACGGACAGGGTTTACGTGATTGTTAGTCCATGGACAAAGAAGACTTACGTAGGATGCACCGTACGGCCGATGATCCAAAGATGGCGAGAGCATTGTAATAACACACGTAGTGATGCACTCGGCCAAGCACCACAACTCTACAGATGGTTGAGAAAGTTTGGGCTGGAGAAATACGTGATTATCCCGATTAGGCACACAGGCAGGGTGGATGACTATGCACTGGAGAAACATCTGATCACATACCTGAGCCCGAGCTTAAACTCGCGAGACATAGGGAAACGAGAAAAGCAAGGGAGAAGAAGGAGAAGGAGGGGAAGACGAGAGAGGAAGGGAAAGCAGAGACGACTCCGACCAGATAAGTTAGTTTCATTGGTGTATCAAGGAATGACATACGTATCTTTGGGGAACTGGTTAGCAGAACAAAAGGAAAACGAGGAGATGACGGTGGTTTTCTTGGGGGGTAATATTTGGGTGGAAGGTTGGAGAAGACTGAAACGCAGATAAGGGACTCGCAACTCGAAGTCTGAGGGAAGATGATTCTTCTACAAAACGCGAAGGAGCTGATACAACAAGGAGGGAAGGTGGTGGTGAAGAAGATCGTGAGATCGAAGACAACGACGGAGCGAAACAGGGCGACACTGGCAGCGTACTTAAGAACACCGAGATCGGACATGAAGATGAGCAAGCTTCCTACAAAGAAGCTAATCAGACTCTACAAGACAGTCGGGCTGCTTATGGAGAAGATGATGAAATACCGACTGCGGACCAAACTAGACAGGATCATTGCAAGAAAGACGGGGGTGAGTGTAAGGAAGAGGATAAATATCAAGTTGCCTTTTGACTCACGGATACTGAAGAGGGGAGTACGAGAGACTGCTGAAGATCTGGTGGGCACTATCATACAAGATAAACCAATGGTGGATTTCGTGAAGACCAGGATCCGGGTGCTGTGGCTGAGGAACTGCAAAGTCGCCAAGTTGATCCATAACCAGAAGAAGTACGCGAACGAAGAGGAACACCCATGGTCGTGCAAAGGGAGAGAACTCCCCAAGCACGCGGGACACATTTTGACAAGATTCTCGGAGCTCGAGATTCCGGACTTCCTTCGGAATTCGAGGAACGTGACGAAGTCGGGCAAAGCATCGGATATCCGCATCATTTCGAGGGCAATCGTGGACGCCGTGAAGCATCTCAGGAGTAAGAAGGAGCCAAAGATGGAACCAGACAGGATATACTCAAGACAACAAGCGAGAAGGACAACATGGATAGATGAAGAGGTGAGAATCTGGAGAAAACAGTTTAACGGGTTGGTTCTATCGCCGATCGATATGAACCAGGGGGACACAGCGGTGATCTGCCCGATAGTGTACAGACATGGGTTCGGGAAAACCTTCGCTTGGAACTCCAACTACGAGCAAGTGGGTACACTGGACACAGAGGAGAAGATACTCAAACGGAGCAAGGAGGATTTCCTTAAGAGCGGTCTGATGAGCATTGGAAAATGACGACCAGATGGACACTTAGGGACAGCGTACACCATTCTGAAACATAAGGATCTCACTCGCTGGAGGCCGATAGCACCGGCCCCGGCAGATCCAGCCGCACTGGCTCAGCGAAGAGTCGCCCGGGCCCTGCATCAGCTCCTGAAGAGACTGCCGGCTAACAGCACTTTCTACCTCAATTCTATCTCGGAGTTGGCCGAAAAGCTGGAGGGGACGACGCAACGTCTCAGATCAGCAGGATGCGACTCAGCAGTGGGACGATGCTATGACATAAAAGAAATATTTTCTCGGATACCGCACGGAGCGGTGTTACAGGCAGTGCACCAGCTGCTGAGGATCTACGAGGATCAAGGCTGCAAACAGATCAGAGTGTCGACTAGGGGAAAGCTATGCATTATCAGCGAGAAGAAAAGGAAGATGGACGGGTATGTAAGTTTGACACTGAAGCAGATCATGGAAGGAGTGAAGTTTGACCTGCGGAATTCGGTGGTGAGAAGCGGCACCAAGCTAATCAGACAAGTTTTTGGTATACCGATGGGGAAGTCTACCAGCCCGATCCTGGCTTCGATCACCTGCGCCATGGCCGAACTGAAATTCGTTAGCGAACTCGGGGCAGACAGGAAACTAGTTGGCGGATAGCGCATTATGGATGACATCACGATCGTGGCGGGGAACTCGACGCAGTGGGAAAAGGATGAGTACCCTGAGAACCTGTTCGAGGCATTCGAAGGTATCTACGATACGAACCTTGAGATCATCCGGAATGATGAATGCGGACTGACATGGCAGCTTATTGGGGGGCAGATGATGATATGCACAGCACCGCTACAGATTCATTATGTGCCAACGACGAAGAATACAGACTCACTGTTTGAGACTGGGAGTTTGACTTTTCAGACGATGGAGGACTACAACTCCTATACCGCGAAATGCATGAAAAAGGCGGTGCTGACAACGATGCTGAAGAGACTGTGGAGCCAGACCACGAGTCAAACGCTGGTACTTGGAGCGATAGGCTACGCGGGATACGAGGCCGACCTCCGGGGATACCCCCCGGAGGTCTCTCTCGGAGCCCTGGCCAATTTGGCCAAGGCTGTGCCGAACAAAGCACTTCACAGCATGTTGACGGCAAGGGCAGCTATAGCCTTATGGAAGAAGGGGATAGGTAGAAGGGTGTTGCGAGCAGTGGAACATAAAGAGGGATAGATAGTCAGGGAAGAAGGGGGGGGAAATTACCTCCCATGGAGAATTTGCGGGATAGGTAATTTTCAGACAGTCCTTTTGGTCTTGGTTCAGGTGGGGTTTTTTTCAGCACTTTAAATTTCAGACAGTTCGGTTGGGCTGGTTTTCAATTTTCCTTTTATTTTCAATATTTTAATTTTCAGACAGTGCTTGTGGGCTGGTTTTCGGCGTTTTTCCTTTTATTTTCAGCATTTTCAATTTTCCTCTTACTTTCAGCTTTTCAATTTCGTTTTGACACGTGTCGTTGGCTATCTGGTATTAAATTTTAGGAAGTTTCGATCCCAGCTCTTGGAAAAGAGACAGTTTTCAGCAAGTGGCTACATAGTAGTAGAAATGGTCGATGAAGTAGTGATTTTCAGAAAAAGATAAAAAATAGTAGTGGGGCCGATTTGCAGCAGCGGCCATTCGATATTTTGGATGGATCAGACACGGAAGTAGAGCTACATGAATTCGAGGGAAGTAGGTTAGCATGAGCCGAAGAGAGAAAGATCATTAGGGGAGACCGACCAGGATATTTTAAAAATAAAGGTACCAGGCCAGGATACAGAGCTTATACAGAGGCCAATGTTTTTTTTTTTGGAACGAAGGGCGAAATGCCATCCCGAGTCTTGAACGGCGAGCAGGCAGGTATCTAATTTTAAATCTTGGACGAAGGGAATACCGTTCTTGCCGACGGTGACAGAGGTAGAGGGGATGAGGCGAAGAACGAAGGAAACTTATATATATGAGGAGGCAAGGCTTAGAGCCTCCTTTTCGAGCACGAAGACTCTGTCTAAGAGTCACCCTCCTGATGATCCCGTGTGGGCGGGTGAAACCGGTTGGGGGATCCACATGTTTGCTCTTTTCTGCAGTTTTGTAATGCTACCTCACACGCAACTTGGTCTAACGTGAGTTCGGTCTGTTCGTGTGTGAGTTTTGTTGGGGCTGCACGGAGTGTTTCGCCGCATTCTGCTCTCTCTCTCTCTCTCTCTCTCTTTGCCCATAGACGCTATCGGCACCAGGTCGAGACATGGAGGTAGACTGTCGGGGTTGCAGCCCCCTGATGAGTTGGTGAGACTCCAACGAAACAGTCTCAATACAGCCCGTTCGTTTTCAACGAACGAGCATTTCTTCTGTAGTTTGTAGGAGAAAGAAAAAAAAGAATAAAAAAAAATAAAAAATCTAAAGAAGATATAAAAAATAAAGAATCTAAAAAAATCTAAAAAGAAAGGTAAAACAAATTTCGGTTGCCCATTTTTGACGGGCGCGACTCGTTTCCTCTGGGGACTGTAAGTCCCCATCTTCCTCCTATAGCGTCATCTGGCGCGTTACTATTTTTTTATTTTTTTTTTGGTAGAGTCGTTGACTTATGCCAGCGGCTACAAGTACTTGCCCTTCCCCCTACTGCTTCTTCAGGCGCCAGGTGGCGCTGTCTTTATTTTTCTTTGTTATTTATTTATTTTTATTTTTATTTTTATTCTTATATATATTTCTTTATTTGATTTATGCGTGTCATCTCTATGCAGGGGCCATGCTAGTCTTGCGCGACCAATCTCAGCCACGCGATCTTCGTGATCGTGCGGTCGAGATAGACCTCGCCTTGCAAAAAGGCAGCTCCAAAAGGAGTTGCGCCCAGTAGGGCCTGTTGGACGTGATCCCGGTATGTACTGGGTAAGAGTCGGCTTCGTTAACCTACTGGGCCAGCTCCTGTTCCACATTGAACAAGAGCAGCTCTTGAATATGAAGAGCTAGCCCAGGTATCTTCCCGGTCTGCGGCCTTGCAGGCACCGCCCACCTGTGGCCTAGCAGGTCTACCCCGCCTGTGGCCTACCGGCCCTTCCTACCTGTAGTCTTGCAGGCCTTGCCAGCTGGTGGCCTAGCAGGTTTTACCTGCTGCCGCTTCCTCGTGGATGGTAACCCATCCATGGTTCTGGGGTCACCCATCGGGTAGGCCTCGGCATAGGTCTGTTGGCCTCCTCCTTTGGCTCGAGGTCAAACTAGCGGCCCTTCCTATTCTTCTTGCGCCGCGATCCTATTCCTGGCTCGGGCGCTCTTCTTAGCCTACTTAGACCCTGAATCGTGCGGCTGTATAGTCGCGCTGTAGCACTTTTTCCAGTCGGACCGCTTCAGGCGACCGGAAAGTCAACAGGCTGTCACGCAGGATTTTGGATGTTTTTGCTATAAATAAAATTAATTAAATAAAGCAAATTCCTTCCTGTTGTGTGCGTCCGGCTTCGAGCGAGACCCTTCAATTACGATCTTCGACGGTCCCCTGTCTTAGGAATCTTTTATTTTGATTCGGAACAATGGAGAATCATGCAAATAATAATCACGAAATGCTGATATGTCATGCATGCATCAATTTTGTCGGCCCACTAATTTTGAGAACCGTGACATAATCATTAAAGAGTACAACCATCAAGCAAAACAACAATGCAAGAAGCAGGACTGACTGACTCGAGCAATGACAAGGCCAAATGAGAGAGGAATGAAAACTCATAATGGTCTCAAGAAGTATATACGGAAGAGAACATGGCCAACACCAAACATGAGTCCTCACTCATCCCTCTGAACCTCACATTCAATTTATCATTTTGTTGTCTGCCGTTTGGGCTTCTTGCCATGTCTCCGTACTCTCTGAGTCTCGGGCCTCTGAATGTAGAGCCACCTGAAGCCTGCTCGTTCTAAGCACTTCCATCCAAGGTACATGACCCGAAAGTCAATCATGGAGCAGAACTCTTCCCATAGTGTAGGTAGGTAAGGTCTGGAGAAAATCCCTCGTCTGAGATGTGGGAACTCTGAAGGCGCTGACACTGCCTCGTAATCGATCGCTGCAGGTGAAATGTACCTCTTTGCCAGATCCACGAGTTCGCCTCAATAAGAGTCGTCAGTGAGGGTGAAGGTACCGGAGGCTTGGGGTAGTTTATGCAGAGCTTCGGCCCGTAGTTGCGGATCAGTTTAATACCACTTCCATCAAGCTCCCTTTCTCTCTCTTCAAGGTACCTGGCTGTTGTGACCCATACTGAATCGAAGTGCTCGAGTGCCTCTTTCCCCTTCCTCACATAGGACCTCAGATCATAAACAGCGTCGCCTGCAAAACTGATGAGGACAACAAAGAATGATAGATCTCCTTGTCTGAAGCCTTCTGCGCTGACGTATCTGTATTGGAAAGCATCCTTGGAGGAGATCAGATTGAGACTGTTCACGACAGTCCCTGGGACTGAGAATAATTGGACTGTACTCATGTGTCGTGACATACGCCAGGATCGATTACTGGTGTAGGGCGAGGAATTTAGCCTGTGTCGATCATTCTTAACCGTAAATCTCTAGTGGTTTGAGCAGGAAAATTGTAAATTGATCTTGATTGAATGTCTGCTTGAAGGCTGTTCGAATATTTGTTTGAATACTGACTGGATGTTATCTGAGCATTGACCGAATATTGCCTGAATGATGCCTAAATATTGTCTAAATATTGTCCGAATGTCGTCTAATTGATATCTGACATATTGAGCCACCAGATTGTTGGCTCACATGGCTTTGCACAATAGAAAGAACGGCAGACTGTTGATGAGGGCTTGCAGGTTCAGATGTTGGTGGGGGTTTCGGAGAAGGTAAATCCGATACCGCCGAGCTCATGCGAGCGCTGCCCTGGCCTGTTTTACGGTCTCTAGCAATGAACTAGTACTGTGCAGTTTGTCGTCGTGACCATAAAAGTAAATCACGTACTCAATGTACACTTCACCTTTCACCATGTGCATCGCATGCTCGCATTGAACTTTCCTATGTAATTTCATATCACAGTATGCTTCTTCCTCCCATCCCTCTCTCTTATCCCTGTTCAATCCGCTCTTCACCACCAAGGCCCCCCCGTCT